GCTTGTCTCTAATCAGTCCGTTCTCATTACGACAATACTATTACCCGCTAAAAAAGCTTTTAGCTTAGGCATCTGACAACATAGAAATGGTTTGCCTCATCAAGCACAGTCGGAACGCACAGATAGGTGGTCCCAGATGTCGTACAGTCGCCTCCCCTTTTTCTTTTTTTCTTCTTGAATTATTAACGCACATTCTGTTCCTTCACCGACAAGGAGCTGATAGCTAGGTGGTTTCGTTAACTCTTTCATACATGCGCGCATGTCTTCCCAGTGAGCCGCAACTGTGTGGTGACTGTCCCGGATGTCGTACAGTCACCCCCCCCCTTTTTCTTTTTTTTTCTTCTTCAATTTTAACGCACATTCTGTTCCTTTACTGACAAGGAGCCATTGCATATAATGAATATCGATGGCGGTGTCTCAATCACCAGCTTTTTCATTCCTCCCGACGCCACCAGCACGCACTCGAAGTGCTTAAACTCTCCCCATTAACTTGTCTTAAACTCCAAAGAGGAAAGAGCCGCCAGTGGATTACAAGGAAAGCTGAAATACAAGAACGGCAACACACTCCCCACTTGGGGAAGAGTGGGTGCGGGGGAGGTATTGTTGACAAAGATCGCATCGCTCATCTACCTCTGCCCTACTCTGTTGAGATGCTGCCCCTTTCTAATTACGCCGTGTCGGTCCTGGTTCTTCTCCTAGATTTTTATATTTATTTAATGTTTTTTCTCCCGTTTCGCTGTTCCTTTTCTCTTTTTACTTTTCTTTTGACCCCTTCCCTCCTGTCTCGACAGGCTTTAAGAAGACACCGAACATGTGTAAATATTATTATGCCTTGAAAAAGACGGGGCCCCCGTCGAAATGTCGGCGGAATAAACAGTTATGTGAAAGCGCATCTACTTTCATAACTATAACCTTGCGGCAACCGAAGTTATTCTTCTGTATATATATATATATATATATATATATATATATATATATATATATATATATATATATATGTGTGTGACGCTACGATGAATGGGAGACGTGGCCCGGCTCATACTCCATGTTTATTCTACTGTCACTTCTTCCTTCTCGGCTTCTACTAACCATCACTTGATACGTCACACGATTCCCCCTCCCCCAGAAAGATGGCACCGTTTATAACCTACAAAAAATTGAAGAAGCCAATAAACAGACAATGTCCGAATTCGCAGTTTCACGTCCCGACACAGTCTCTTTAAATCTTCAAGCCCGAGGAAGCAGTCCGGTGATCTTTATAACAACTCTGGGGGGCGAGGCTGACTGTTGCGTTCCGGACAAAGCGGGATACACGTGGATACTGACAGTACCGCTAGAACTCTTGTTCGGGCTGACCAAGGTTGAAACGCCTTGTTGCATCGGCAGCTCGGATGTCATCGGGGTTGTATTTTTCGCCGTGAATGGTGCAATCCCGATGCTTCTTGCTTGCGTGCTTCTCGACAGACTGTGATGGAGTGCCTCAGTGCTTGCGGTTTGCGAGCAGTGCTTCCGCGTCTTTCTCGGCGCTTCCTGTGGTGTTGCAGTCGGCGGAATAGCAGGCGCTGGGAGCGTTTCTGGCGACTTTTCTTTGTCCGAAAGTGTCTAACGCCTTGTTGGTTTGGAGATCTTATTTTTTGATGTTCTTCAACTGGTGAACGCGCATCCATTGAATTTGGCATTCGTCGATGGCCTCGTTGCAGTCTCTCTCGCTGTTTCCTGAGTTTGTGTACTTGGCTTTGCTTGCTTTGCTGGTGCTGCTCAGGAGATGGCTGAAGTGGCGCCCCTTCTGGAATCGGGCATTCATTTCCTTCGAGGTTTGACGCGTCCTGTAGACAGCTGATGCATGGTGAGCTGGTGTCTTGCTTATCGGGCATAGTTGGTAATGTGCCATCATTATGCTCTTCAAAGACTTCGGTAAGGTGTTCCAGTATGGACGCTTCGGATAGACAGCTGCGTGCGAGGTTTGGTGTATGTATTACTTCTGCATTTTTTGGTTCTTGGAGCTGTAAGCACTGTATGGGGGTACCACAGGTGACGTGGCATTACTAGGTTTTAACTGCAGATTTTGGCAAGTCTGTGGTGCCGCAGAAACAACACAAAGCTCTTTAGGGGCTTCTTCACAGTTCACTGCGAGTGGTTCTTGCGCCTGGTAACTTGCGACGTTCGATGCGTCTGAGCCTTCTGCTTTGCTTCGACTGTCCAGTGTGTGTGCACCACACGGTGATGAATAAACATGTCCGGAAAGAGCATGGCTTGACAGGGTATTTTCGTGAAGCGTTAGGTCGTCTACCGAGGTCGCGGCGTCCTTATGAGGCAAATGGTGAGCGTTAGGAGCGCTTGAAGAACCGCGTGATGAAAACCTGGGTGGTGGACCACGTATGCCAGACGAAGAGTGAACGGCATCAGGTGGTTGGGCAACGTCTCGGGTCATATGCTGAAGTGATTACTTCACAAATGCCGACTTTCGTGCAGAAGGGAGGCGCGCTCGATGGCTGTGTTTCTCCCAAAATACGCGTTGTCGTCTGCCACTGAACTCGTGTGCCACTTCGTCTTTTGTCAGAGGTCGAATCTTGTTGTGCGTTCGAATGGTTGAAGACTGCCTGTAAAATTCACGACTGAGTGCAGTTTTCTGTGGATGGTGGGTTGCAAGCAAGTCTTCGTCGTAGTTGTCCTCGTATTTTTTAAACCAAACGATCATTTCTTGTTTTATCTTTTGCCAAGACTCGCCGTTGTCGAATATGTGGGCGAGGTAAAATTTAAATGCCTCACCGTAGTCGCTGAAGTTCGTCACCATTTCCCGTTCCGACCAAGATGCAGCGGTAGCGTGGAACTCGAACAGGTCGAACCAGTCTTGTACGGGTCCATCGTCCGCTGCTCCGGTGTACTTGAGGATGTCGAGGTCAGCCGATGGTTCTGTCATGGTGCTGGTCGTTGTCCTCCTAGGCGATGATCCGGTAGTCAATGTATGGTCAGGGCGTCTTCTGGGAAACTGCGCCGATGATGAGTGACTGATGAAGGGGCAGGCAGGTCTCCATCCTGTCGGCTCGTGTGACGCTACGATGAATGGAAGACGTGGCCTGGCTCATACGCCATGATTATTCCGTTCTGCTTTGCTTGTTCTCCATCTACTTCTAACATCCCTACCTTCTTACGTCACACACCCACATATATATATATATATATAGATATATATATATATATTATTATATATATATATATATATATATATATATATATATATATACACTACACGACACATAACGGTGATAGCAACGGCAAAGCGGCGATATTGAGGTTCACCATATTGTCATGGCGAGGCTTTGAAGGTGGGAGCAGTCGGCACCTTCAAAGTAAGAACTCTGATTCGGCTGCGAAACGGACACCTAAATGACAGGCAGCAATGCGCTGTACACTGATATCGGCGCAAAGTACGGCGGTCGACGATACAATTTCGCTTCTCGGTGGATGCTGTGACAGAGCCGCGAGGAAGGGAACGACTGCTCAGTGGCTTTCGATGTTGCGCAATGGCCTCGTAGCAAAAATCATTTACACGTACAATATCAAAGTACTTACTACAGTATACTTCACACCAAACTGCGATGTAGCGAGCTGCCTTTAGTGCTTCAGTAAGAAAATACTTCTTCATACGCAACAGCAAACCTTGTTCGAATGATAAACTCTGCAGGCGCAAATTTCGAGGAACAATCTTTGATTATGCCAATTTCGGAGAAAATAGTCCCAACACACACTATGTAAAAAAACAGTAACAACTGTGTTGCTTTGTTTGAGTATTAGTAACTACGCTTCCATGTTACATGTTTTGTCTGAGTTACAGTAACGTGCGCTTCCATTTTCAGATTTAAGCATTGGGATAATTATGTTTTGAGAGGGCAGTGTCTCGACTTGCGCCATTTTTTGCATTTTTTATCTTACAGCCTTGTTACACTGAGTTGATTCGTTTGTTAGATCGGAAACCACCTCTACAGTGGTCGATGTTCACCAACTCTAAGGCAGCCCTAGAATCTGTGTTATCGGCACTGCGTCACGGGCCATACGAACGAATCGTATTCGAAATTCGGCACCTTATTCACACATCACAAGAGAAAGGGCACCAGGCCGTAACCTCTTCGTGGGTTCCAAGTCACTGCAGCGTCATACGAAATGAACACGCTGATAATTTTCTCTCTTTCCTTCTTTCAATCACCCCAATCTCTTTCCCACTTTTGGGTAGCAAACCGGTTATTTTGGACTGGTTCACCTCCCTATCTTTCCTTCTCTACCATTCTCTCTTCTTTCTCATGATATGGTCAGGCTGTAGTACAATCATTGTTTGACAAAGACTTAGGTGGTGATAGTTGCCGAAAATTGTGTGGTTTTAAAGAATCCTTGTCGACTCGGGTATAAATTTTACCACAAAGCGCTGCCGAAGCTTGCACTAAGATGCTCAAGCCTTTGAAAAATGCAATCTCATGATTATCAATTCGGCACCTTCGCTACAAACTTTTGCTACACTATAAATGGCACTGCTCTGAGCAGAGTACACAAACATAAATACCTTGGCTGAACAATTACGTCCGGCTTAAGGAAGGAGAAACACATTAGAATCGATGTGAACATTAGTTCATCTGTCGTGCAAAAATTATTTTTTCCTCGCAGATCGCTTCACATGGCAACCTTGCCAACAAAGCTAACATTTTGTGTGCGAAAGATCAGTATGCTGTGAAGGTATCTTCTGCAGCGCCTAACAAGCAACAGAGACTTGTTTGCGCATTGAATGAATTTATTTTAAAAGATAAATGAGCACTATTGTCAAAGCTAAAAGATGTGACATCATGGGCGTACTTGAGAGATGCGCAGTAGCGTACAGCAGAACACATAGGCAAGTGAATATAATGTGGCTGCAGGTCACTGTTTTTAAACTGAATGTGTAAATCAGAGTACATTCGCAAAGTTCACACAGGTTAGTTTCCGGCAAAATAAAACACAGGGTTTCTTGAATCTCGCGTCGCTAAAGTCCTGCACATGTAGGTATGAACACGCTCAGAAAAACGAAGGGATGATGTTTACAACAGCCGAGCAAAGCAGACCTCTTTGTCAAATACAACAGGTGGAACACGCGAAAGAAAGCAACGTCACGGAAAGTCCGTGGTGACGAGAGCTTCGACCAAGCAAGCCGCATCAGCTTCGTCGATGGCAGCGAGTTCTTGAACTTTGTCGATCAGAGCCTGGCTTCTCCGAATAGAAGCTAAGGCTTCCATACAGCGATTGTCGTCTGCGAATTGCACCACGTAGTGGGACGCGCACGTGACAAAACCCACGTTGCGACTGAGAAAGGCTTCGATTACGGCCCATCCTTCATTTTGCGTATTATTGCAGGAAGTGTTGGAAACGCGAAGGCGCAATAGCGTTTCGTTGATGTCAAAATCGATGGCAAGTAGGCGAAGCAGACTGTCGTTCTCGGAAAGGTCCCATGAAGAGAAGTCAAGTTCGGTCAACGTATCGTTGCAATACACGGCGTCGACCATAAAGTTCAGGTTGACTTCACCCAACCGAATCTGGCTCAGTCGCAAAGTTCGTAGGCTCGAGTTGGAGAAGATAACCTGCAGGAGAAGGCTGTGGTTGACGGTAACTTCGCCGAGGCAGGTGCTAAGGTCTGGCTCATTGCAACCCCTCAGTTCAAGCTCCTTCAGCGTATTAGGCCTCGTTCACGTAGCAGCACAAAGACCACATCATGAAGACGTCACGCATAGCCTCCTTTGAAATAGTGAGTCGGAAAGTAGTCACGTGGTTCCAAGAACGCACTAGATGTACGGTTTTGCGGAAGGCACTGACGCTCGTCTCTCTGAGACAACTGACGACCACGTGACTGACTGCTTTGCGAACGTGTTCGAGCTTGGACAGTGCCACGGGGTCGACCAGGTATTCGTCCGTAATGTGGACCATGTCGCTGATCTCGGCCTGCCGAACAGCCCGGCAGATCTCGGGCAGTACGTCTAGTGCCACGTCGCAGATTGATATGATCCTGAGAGACTCTAGAGTGGTGGCCACAAATAACAGAGTCTTGAAGTCGTGTAATTTCAAGCCTTTTACGTTGACTGAGAGGTGGGACAGCCTGACTTCTTCGCGTTTGTCCAATGACTCTAGCCCCACACAGCATTGTTCAAACGGTTGGACGTCGTCTGTTGGTGCGTCCAGGCTCTTTTTTGAACCTTCCAACACCCATCTGCAGCCGCTAATATCGAGGTGTTTTAGAGAGCCGCCCTGTTTAGCCACTAATAAAGAAAGCAGGCAAACGCAGCCATAGTCCAAGAGGAAACCGGAAAGCTTGAGTTTCTCGAGGGAACTGGGAGCAATTTCAGGAGCTAGTACACCTCTTAGCTCTTTAACAGTGTTTTCCGGCTCAGAGTTCATGCCCTCTAATGTTAGAGCAGACAACGTAGTGCTTTCTTTCAGGTAGACGGAAAACCAGGGCACGCCCTTAGATTTCCAGGAGTGAAGAATGCTGCTGTGAACGGACAAGTCAGTCACTGTGCGGTTTCTCCGCAACTGCTTTAACCAATAACTGTGAGTTTATCCCGTTGAGACGTAGCCCCGAGAGTGACAGGGTTGAGAGACTTGCCGAGCGCAGCAGGGAACGAACAACGTCTACTAGGCGGGAAACAGCTTTGCCAGTGGCCGAGATCACGAGCTCTCGCAGCTGAGTCATCGAGCCGAGGTCTGCAAATAAGTCCTCCTGAATGAACCTGCAAAGAGACGGCACTGGAAGTTAGATGCCACGTGGTCATGATGGTGAAGAGCGTGGCACTTTGGTTGTTAAAGAGCAAAGTTTTCAGTGCGTAAACTTGCGTCAATTAAAAGTCACAGTACCAGCAATACGCGCTGCACGCTAATAAAGGAAATCACAGCATCGATTACTGATAAACTGTATAGCAGTGAGGCACCTTGGCATTTAGACGAGTGGCATCGAAGGTCATTATCGTTGGTAAAGTTGATAGTATCAGAATTGATTTATATGTGGGGTTTAACAAGAAATGTCGACCACCTGGGGATCTAACGTGCAGCCAAATCTTAGCTCACAGGCCTACAATATTTACGCCTCCATCGGAAATGCAGCCGCCGCAGTGGCGATTCGATCCCGTGACCTGTGGGAAGCTTCAGAATTAGCTGTACTGTTCGCGTTGGGTACGGACGCGTTTTATAAAAACCTGCAGCATTCTGGCCTGTCTTTAGCGCTCTAAGATGGCGAGTACAATGCAGTGGGTACAGGTCTAACCCGTCACTTAAGAAATGAGCTTTCACTGCAATGTGGGGTCGACGAATCATTTAAGCGCACAAAATGGTGAAACGTACCGAATCTATTACACAATGGAAGTAAACATGAGTAAGTTCGTTGAATGAAGATAAGCGTGAAAACGGGACCGATAAGAAGTACGCTGGTTTACATCTAAGAAACGTTTACTACAAACTGGCGCTTGAGGTTCCATGTGTGAATTGTACGCCCTCTCCCCCCCCCCCCCATCATGCCACTACGAATACGTATGCCAATGAATGATTTGAGAAAGTAGCCAGCCGAGTAGGTATTATATTGGTGAAAGAACACCGTACCTGTAGTCAGAAAAAAGGCTGACAAGTTTCAGTGACCGCAGACTCGTGTTGTCCCGAAACGCCGACGAGACGCGGACTCGGAACTCTCGGAGTCCACTGCCTTCCACCAGAACATCGTCGAGCTCCACGCCGACGACGCATCGATGACACTCCAAAAGAACGTGGAAGAGGAGACGCACGTCGCGACCATGCTGTTCCTGCCGTCGGCCTCCGTCACGTGCCACGCGTACCAGCGACAGTTCTCCGGGTGCCGTGAGCTCCCGCAGCTGGAAGCCGGCGTGCCACAGAACGCAGTTCCAGAAGCACAGCCTTTCGATGATGTGGCAGTAGGACGTGGAACTCAAGTTGCGGTGTACTTCAGCGGTGCAAGGACGGTGAAGCCCTAATCCCGGGAAGAGCGCATCGATGTCGTCTTCGTTGAGCCACACCTGGTCCAACATGTCGAGTGGCGTTCCGCCTTTCGAGGACGATCGAGTAATGAAACGCTTAGCACATTGTCAAAACCTTTCGCATTTGAAGAATTGTCCACCCTTAGAGAGCTTATCTAATCATGTAGCACGTTGCACGTAACAAAAGTTATGTTCCACAACCAAGTTGTAAAAAAATTAAACAGATGGCACCGGGTACCGCTAACAGGATTGATGTAAACGTGCCTCGTAGTATTTATGTCTGCGCAGTTCGTCATAGATTTATCTAAATTATTGCACGCAGGCAGCCTATACGGCCGCATGCGATTATCTTTCACTCTCCATCAAATTTGGAATCACGCGGTGTACTTCATCTTTTCGAGTTATTCACGTGACCACAGTGTCATGTGAAGTAGCAGCCTTTTAAAGTTGGCTGACTATTCGTTGCATGGATTCACCCCAGCTGAAATCCTTATTTAGCAAACCTATCTTTGCAGCAGTAATTGAAAGGGTGGCCTGTTACAGCCATTTTGATTCACATCACCACAATAATAATGACAACAGGCATTCTCAATATCGAACCTGTTGCGGTTGAACGAATTCACAGACTACGCAAAGTAGCAGCAAAAAAAAATCTACAGACAATCATGAAAATTGCCGAAATTCTAGATAAAACAAGGGTTTTGAAAAACAGCCGTATGTTGAAAGGAAGCAATTATTCTATGAGTGAAGATTTTCAGTCAATATTTGAGACACAAGAACAAAGCTCTGGATTTCCGTCAAAGCAAAAAAAAAAGTTGGAGAAAGTGTTTTTTTCACTTATGACGAGCTGAAAATAATTGGTGACCTGTATTGCTGGGATGAAAGCCGGGTGTTGTAATATCGTTAAAGAGTCTGTAAGGCCTCTTTAGCTCGAAAAAAAAAAACAGCAGACCATTAGAAATCACCGCGCTGACTACGAAATATTAAATAGCCCTCATAAATTTAAGTGCGCGCAGCATTTTTAATGAGGTAGATTCCCCAGAATCAGTAATAATTAAAAATTTGAGCCATATTTTGTTGCTGTGACAAAGGCAAGGCTGACACAAGATAACATGGACGTTGAGTCGACCCCGCCAAATTATTCAGTAGTCGGAGATTACAGACACGTGGCGGTGGCGTTGCATTATTCGTAAAATAGCTAGCTCTTTTTCAGGACTTCCGGAAGTAGGAGATGTTAAAGCTACCTCGTGCAAACTAGTGTTGCTCCAACACACCCCGTCACCGTCGCGTGCGTTTACCAATTTTCGATATCTGATTGTAGCGTCACCCGTTCACTATATGACTATCTACAACGTCATGTGTCATGTGGCCGGCTAATCATTGTGGGCGATTTAGATTGACTCGGTGGTTGATACCTGAAACATACCGTCCCAAAACCGCCATATGACTGTGAGAGACGCAGTAGTGGAAAGCTCCAGAAATTCAGGCAACTGGGGTCCGTTAACGCACTCCCAAATCAGAGCATATGGGCCTACAGCATTTCCGCCTCCATCAGAAATGCAGCCACCGCAGCCGCGATTCGATCCCGCGACCTGGGGATCAGGAGCTGAGTACCTTAACCACCAGGCCACCATGGTGAGATAGTGGGCGTTTTCAACCGACATGATAGTGATAGGAAAGCCACGAATTTTTCATAGGCATCCTCCGAGATAATCAGTGTTTTATTTTCACCTGAGCCAAAAAGTCACCCAGCCCAACCGTCTTCATGAATCCAGATATATTATTCTTGATATGACATTTACAAGTCATCACTTCCGCTTAACAGAATAAAATTACAAACTTTGCGAGGTGTGTCACATCCCAAAATAACATATTGCGCAATCCGCTCGCAAACCGCTATCTCTGTCAGATGAAATCGACAGAGCGTAGGCGGGATGGGCTGACAGAAACGGTATCTCAAGAGACTTTCAGAACAGTTAATAGCGCAGCGTGCGTGTCATAAAGTGCAGTCCAAAAATGAGGTCTAGAGGGGGGGTAGCAATTTTCCAGTACAGTTTGATGCTCACAAATAAATAATCGTGCACTGAACATTTCACGCACAGCAGGAGTACTTCCTTACGCTGTACGGACGGCAGTTGCAATCGCGGGCGTCAGAACACTTTGGAATCGGTGGGGGAGGTCTGAGCCCATCACAGATAATTGTGCATCGGTTTCAATAGGATCAGTTACTGGTAAACTATTGACGAGAATTATAAAAACGTTGACTGCCAGTCGGGATTTACCAGAGGATTTGCAGCCCAGAACGTGAATGCAGCGTAAACTCAGGGGGCTGAACCAGCTCGTTTTCCGTCGAATGGTCGTAGGGAGACCGAGAGCGGAGAGGTGTGGGCGAGCGGGACTGACAACGCAGGGGCGATGGCGCGCGGCTGGCCCGATGTCTTGGAAGAGTCTTTGCACTTGTCTCAGAGTCGTACTACGAAGTATAGAGCGCACGCTCGGAGCGGTATCCCCAATTGTAGAAGCTCCAGGCGATGAGATCGAATGACTGCGACGATGGCGGGTGAGGTGCCCTAACTGATGGCAGTGAGATATGGGCTGATCATCAGGAGTGCGCTATTAAACTGGGTTTTGTCTTGGCGAGAAGCTGTGACTCGGAGTAGCAGCTGCAAAGACTGGAGAAGCCGATCTGGAAGTAGCAGGGACTTTCTGATAATGTGACGAGGGGCCAATATTCACGATTTCTTGGCAAACAATCACCTGTATTGTAAAACAGCAGTGAAGCTGTATCCTAGAGCACTGTAGCTAGACATAGCGGGTGTCATAGCCTCGAGTTCCCAACGGACATATCTGGTTACGTTTTCCCGCTCTGAAGGTTTGATGTACTGTGGGCAAATTTTTCAAATTTTCGCAAGAGAGCGTTGCCGCCGTGTTGGGAATGTGGTGAGATCGATGAACGATGCGCCTACTTTACGCCTGTTTGAAGCGACGACAGTCATCTATGACCGACTCTACCAAAGAGTAGTCCTCGCACAGCAGGAATCAGAAGCCGTCATCGGCAAATTCTTTCAAAATGCGTCAGACTTATTCCTCCTCAAGCATGCCCTTGTCGACCTTGCTGCACAAAGCAACACGTCCTGGATGTACATGATGTACGGCTGTGTGGATGTCTAGGCACGAGTCGCGAGCTCTCTTTGCGTACACTTCTCGTCCGATTGGTTTCTCAAATAGCGTAATTTCTGCTTGTAGACGTCGCAGCTCGTTAACACTTCTTGATGCATTCCGTACCATGCCGTGCCACGCAAGTAGAAGATAATGTTCGCCAACATCCACGTCGGATCTCAATAACTGATCCTGCTGATTCAACCATACAGAACTAGCCAGTCGTCGGCGTCTAGGCTACTTGTGCCGTTGAATGAGGCTGGGTCACGAGCTTGCACCACAACGATCGGCTGCGGGGCTGACGGATGTTGTTGACATTGAGTAGCTTGTTCAGTCAGCTGGAACGCGCTGTACGCTGCGAAGATCCAGCTCCTGGGGTGGTGTACGAGTCCTACAGCACCTCCATCAAACATGTTTTAAGGAAGAAAGTATATCGACCAATTAAATTTGCAAACAAATGCGTACAACGCTGCGGCATTCCACGCATGTCCAGCTCCCCACTTCGTCATCGTCATTCTCAAGTATCTACTCAGCCCGTGACGGTACTAAGTGTGGCAGCTTTTACAAGCACGTGGAAAGCAATTGTTGAACGAGATTTTTTAGAAGACGTGGACAAAGCGAAAACATGAATTGACGAACATTTGGCTAACAGGTGTTCCTAAGTTCGTTAGAGAGTGTGGGTGGCCTACATTATTCTAACAAAAATAACTTTTGGCTTCATCTAGGTCTCTTTTGCATCCCACATATTTCAGTCAAGTAATGGCCCAACTGTTTCAAGAACACGCCATGATAACTTTTTTTACTACTTTCAAGGGGTTAAATTATGCTACACCACCCAAGCACTTGAACCTCTTTCAGTAGCACTGACATTCGGGCAAGTTGTTGTTGGTTCACAGTAATGAACGGGGCAAAAAACACATGGAGCACAGATCAACAAGACAACAAAGACACGGCCGCCGCGTTTCTGTGTGGTTTCTTTCATGTGTGTTCTATGTTTTTTTTTTGTTTTTTGCACCGTTTATAACGATGTACTTCTTTTGCCTTACCACAACGCGCACGTGCGTGAATACGTGCACATGCACAGATATGAAGCCATTCGTGCAGTTGATGAGCACTCGGTACATATAGGGTCTTTAAATATTTAACTTTGTGTGAGAAATCTATGGACCTCAGTGCCACACATTCAGAAGCTGAACGTATGTAATGAATATAGTGCTATATAAGACCAAAGCGTTTTTTATGCCCCAGATTTTGCATTCACATAAAACGACCCACTGAAAGTATTCATGCAAAAGTGATAAGATGAATGCTGGCAAAGGATATATTAGCGATGTTGACCGACCATTTGCAAAAACATTTACCAAAGTGGGTTGATTCGAGCTTGGCTCATACGTTAATGTCACGTGTTAGAAAGTGCCAATACTTTAGTAACGTTCAACAAAGCGTCAACGAAATGGCCGTGTAATGCGAGTCAGTCATGCCATTTTAGGCCATATATTTAGGTAGGAAAGTGCCTATGATAGTGATAACAGTTAGTCATTGTCATAGCACAAGGTTAGAGAATGTAATCTACTCAGTCGGTGATCCTTCGCGTACCAAATCATACGTGCTGCATTAGCACAACACAATAAATGCAGTTTCGTATTTTCAAGAGTGCACCAATCTATGCAGTGGCTTTTCCAGCCTAAGTGACAAGGATATGCATCTAAATGCTCTATTTCTTTGCTATATAGTTTATTCGATGTTATGGTATATCATTGCTGCAGTATAAAAAAACTTCGTGAGCAAAAATACTCGCAGTAATTATTAGGATGTTTTGTTCATGTGCATTTTTGGGTTTGGCTTCCCAATACCACCGTATTATTGTGAGACACGCCGTAGCGAAGCGCTCCGCAAATTTCGGTCACCTGGGGTGCTGTAACATACGCCTAAA